CTGGTTTTTCTCTTAATGTAAAATGTATATACAATGATAGCTCAGTTGGTAAAGAATCTGCCTGCAATGCAGGAGACCCTGGTTCAATTCCTAGTCGGGAAGATCCACTGGAAAAGAATAGGCTACCCACTCCAGTATTCTTGGGCTTCCCCTATGGCTTAGCTGGTAAAGAATCCGCCTGAAATGCAGGATACCTGGGTTCAAGTCTGTTTCATTAAGCCCCTTCAGTCACTTACAAAAGTTCATCTTTATATGGCGTTCCCTGATGGCTCAGAGGGTAAAGAGTCTGCCTGCAGTGTGGGAGACCTGAGTTTGATCCCTGGGTCGGGAAGATCCCCTGGAGAAGAAAATGGCAACCCAATCCAGTATTCTTGCCTGGAAAATCCCATGGACAGAGAAGGAGCCTGGCGGGCTACAGCCCATAGGGTTGCAGAGTCAGACACAACTGAGAGACTTCACTTTCACTTTTTTGAATTAATATTGACAATACATGTACCCGTGTAACCGAAACTCCTATCAAGATATAGAACATTACTGTCACCCTAGAAAATTCCCTCATACCTCTTCTCAGCTGGTTCTTTCTCCTCATCACACAAAGGTAATCACTATTTTCTAATTCTTGTACCATACGTTGGTTTTGCCTATTCTATAACTTTATAGATGAAATCATAAAATGTACTTTTTTGTGTGTGTGTAAGGCTTCTTTCATTTAACATAATATTTTTGGGTCATTGGTATTGTTGTATAGATCAGTATTTCCCTTCGTTTTTATTGTTGAGTAATATTCCATCATACGACCATGAGTATATTGTGTATTTATCCATTGTCTTATGATGGCACCTGACTACCTTATAATGATCACTGGATTACTTATTACTTTATACAGGATAAAGTAATATCTCCATTGCTTACTCCTTGACCCTTTAGTTACTAACATTATGGCTTAGTAAATGCTTATAAAGGGATCTTTTAAAGTAGTGTATTTCAAGTCCTTCTGAATTCCCTGATAGCTCAGCAACACCATTTCTTTTTACCTTAGATCCTAGCCAGTGAACAAAATAAAGTATTCACTTACTTTAAATGTGTATTAGCGTCCATGCTAGTCACATCTTGAGACTGTAAACTGCCTCCCAGTACTACTGCTGTCTGAGTTTTTGAAAGAACACTGTTGGTTTACTCTTGAGAGGCAGGTGGCAGGCAGTAGGAGGCTTTGTGTAGTTTCTGGTGGGGGAGTTGTCACTGTAGCCAGATACTTTACCAGCAGCAGCAAAGGGTAGACGATAAGGATAGGAGAGAGGAGACAGACATTACAGGTTATTGGTAGCTGAAGTCAATCAATTGTAAATTGAAACCCAGTTTTTTGGGAGAGAGAAATTCAAGTTGACCTGTTTACAGTATTTCACTGAGTAATTAGACTGTATTACCCTATACAATGGCTTCCCTCGGAGCTCAGTCAGTAAAGAATCTGCCTGCAATGCAGGAGACCCAGGTTCAATTCCTGGGTCGGGATGATCCCCTGGAGAAGCAAATGGCAACCCAATCCAGTATTCTTGCCTGGAGAATCCCATGGAGAGAGGAGCCTGGCAGGCTACAGGCCATGGGGTTGCAGGAGCCAGACTTGGCTTAGCTACTAAACCACCACCGCCATCCTACACAATCTTTGATAGAATGGCAACTCTTACAAATTTAAACATACCACCTTTGCCATGTTTTCATCTACTGTATATATGGTGTACATGCTTTGTATCTATTCTCAAAATACCAGAAGAACATCAAGATTCACTTTATAATACTATCTCTTTTCATTTAATTTGTAATATCCAGGAGAAAATGTAATTTTAAAAATTCTTCATAGTTTAAGGACAGGTAACCAAGGATATCAAAGAGCATTTAAAATATTAAGACCCACTCTGTATTTTCCAGAAGGTATGAAAGTAATACTACTTAATAGGTTAGCTGCCACCCTGCACTTTCAAAGCACTTTAGTCATTCATCTGTCTGAGGTAAGACGGTATTTGCACCCTTGGTTAATAGATGGGAACTCTCTCCCCCCGACCCCATGTTTTACTGTATTTGAATTCCAGAATATATCCAGAGCTTTCCAAACAGTGCTTATTGTCTTCTGGTGGCCTAACAAAGATTCCTTTTAATAATGGCTTTCCCCACTTATATCCTAAATACTTCTGGGATATTTTTTCAGAAGTTATTAAAACCCAAAGCAAAGAAACAGTTGTCAGTTTTTGTGGTAACAGTAAAAATAAATTTTAACTGGAAAATTTGTAAGACATTATATCATTCATAGATGATAAAACAATTACACAAAAAAAATAGGTAAAATATCTCATAAGTTTGTATAAAATCTTTAAACAAATATGATGTACCTAGTTGATGGTTTTCCTTCTGGAAGAGAAATTATGGAATCCAGTACCTCAATTTAATAAATTTAAAAACTGTATCTATTGGTCCATGTATATTTGTGGTTAACAAAGAGAAAGGACAGAACCACAGGTATTTATTTACTGATTTCTGCAGTAGGGGTTATGAGGATAGCATCTCTGCAAATTCCTGCTTATGTATTACTTGAGCCAATAATCTTAAAGTAGAGTATGTTTACAGGAACTCTGTGATGTGAAGAAGTAAAGAGTTATCACATCCAGATACCTGGTTATGCTGGTCTTTTTAAGTGCAGGAACTTTTGAAGGCAAAAATTCCAAAGCCTGATTTATTTTATGTATGCTTATTTACAAGTATGTTTAATCCTGCTCTTGTTTCTGAGCTTAATACCGCATAAAAATATTAATCATTAGGTGGTCTTAATGTAGCTCTCTTCAGCACTTCTGTAGAAAGTCATTGTCAGAGAATTCATTCTAATTCAAGGTTAATTAGTGTACCATTAAAATAATGCGTTACAAAAATTAATTACATCGCAGGTCAAAAAACCTGTTAAAAAGCAGAGTGTAAATGTCTGAGAGCACATCGTCCTCCTTAAAACATTGCTATACGAGTGCCACCCTTCTGGAAAATATCTCCAATGTGAAAATCACTACTGAGGTCCAGTCATAGGTGTTTCCCTAAAGTAAATTTTTGGCACCACACATGGAAAATTTAAAATATAACTCCCCATTAACAGTAAAATGTGTTGCTTGTCTGCTTCCACACTGAAACAGCTAAGGATTTATATTTTAGCATTAATCAATGGGACCCTATTGGGTTAAACCTAAGAGAAGTCAGGAATCTTGTTGAGGAATAGAAATTATCTGTACATCTTACAGTAAAAATACTAGATATATTATGTTTTCTTAACTGTTAGGTAGTTCTGGTAGGTGCCCTGTGTAAGTCTGTCACACATCATTTTAACTATATGGTGATTCTTGTTAATAATTTGATAGCCATAAAATGTACCCTTAAAATTAGAACTAAAAATAATACAGACTTTGACATTTTACCTGATTATTTTACTGTAAAAGCTGTGAAACAGTTACATTGAATTATAAAATACTTTACACATTGGTATTTGTTCTGAGAATCAAATTAGAATATCTAATTATTCATAGGGAGGGTTTTAGAATGAGTGCCCCAGTAACAGTAAATCAGTACGCATTAGAGCTGGGGAACATTTAACACAGGCAACGCTGTTCTCTATCAACAATACATTTTTTATTTGGCTTTTAGAATTGTCTCCATTTTAAAAAATTATTATTGGGCTCTGAACTAATAATTAACTAAGTGGTTTTGCTGTTACAATAAAGTGTGACTGATTTGCCCACATTTAAAAATTTTCTGCTTCCCTTCTCCTTTGTATTTGCATACAAAACAGATATTCACAGATATGTAAAAATAAATTGATCAAATGAAAGAAAAAGGAAAGGACAATTTTTAAGGAAGAAGTTGTCTCACTTCGGGTTTTTGTTGTTGTTTGTTTTTTACAAGAATAGCTCCTGCTTAATTAGTTGAATGAAAAGGTATGTGAAGAGAGTCTGAAAGATGAAGAATGTAAGTGGGTTAAGAAAAGCTTTCTTCAAAGGTGCTTTTTACTTTTAAGTCCTCTTTGTCCTAGCTTATATCTGTTTAAATCTTTTCTAAAATGACATAAAGCAGGGATTTCGACTTAATGTGAAAAAACATTCCATTCTTTTAAAAATGACAACATCGCTGCCACCCTCAAAAAGTAGTGTTAAGCCATAATCACTCATTTCTTCAGAAAAGCCCTTAGCTTTGGGGGTTTTGTTAATTCTTTGGACCAATTAGGCTCCTTTTGTTAACTAAGCCAAGATTTTCTGACAGAGAAAAGAATTAACACATCGATAGTAACCGTTTGTCTTTGGTAGACAATAGTTAAAATTGCTTAATATTTAGTATGCTGTCTCCTAACAGTTAATTGTCTATTCTGTTTTACAAGTGGCTTTCATAGTCAACATTTGAAGTTAAATACTAACGTTTGGGGGATGTTTCAGGGTGTAAATTTGGGCTATGAAGGGGAACTGCTTGTGATTACATTTTCTTACATTTTATGGAATAAACTTGAGTAAATTTAGATATGTTACATTTAGATTATGATCTCTACCTCGGTTTAAGTACCATTTTTTTTTAATTCATAAGAGTTGTTTCACCAAAAGTGAACATAATAATTTAAAATTAATCTCTTTCATTTCATCAAACTACTTTAAAATTTACAAAGTGTTATCGTGTAGTTCATACATCCAATAAATATTATTGGTATTATTGTTGTTAGTATTATCCTTATCCCCGCTCTGTGGCTAAAGAAACTGATCAGGCTGAAGAAAGTCACTGGGCTAGTATCTAACAGATCCCCAAAGTAGAACTCAAGAATTCCTGTTGTTTTCGTTTACTGTTTTTCCTATAGAACATTTTATATTAATCATTCTTAGAATAGTTAACCTATATTTTTCCTTATTTTTGTATCTTTCTTAAGACCTTATGTCTTTTATATGGCCCACAGCTGGATTAACAACTTCATTTGTCTTTTTCTGTGTTTTCAGGGCAGAACTCTACTCCATTGGGCTTGTGATCGAGGACATAAGGAACTAGTAACAGTCTTGCTACAATATAGAGCTGATATTAACTGTCAGGTAAGAGTGATGAAAAGGGAACATTTTTTAAAAATGAGGTAAAATCTATATAAAGTAAAATTTACCATATTAACAGTTTTAAAGTGTACAATCGAATGGCATTAATATATTTAACAATGTGCAGCCATCGCTACTATCTTGTCCTAACATTTTCATCACCCAAGAAGGACAAGGACAGTTTTTTACCCGTTAAGTTGTCACTCCCTATTTCCCTTCCCTTCCAGATCTTAGCAACAACTAATCTTTCTGTTTCAATGGATTTGCCTATCCTGGATATTTCATATAAATGGGATCATAAAATATGTGGCCTTTGTTTCTGTCTTCTTTCACTTGGCTTGTTTTCAGAGATTATCCATGTTGTAACAGGTAATTGCACTTCTTTCCTTTTTATGACTAAGTAATATTCTGTTGTATGCATAGAACACATTTTATCCTTCATCAACTGATGAGTAATTGAGTTGTTTTCACCTTTTGGCAATTGTGAATAATTGCTGTGAACAATTTGCATACATGTTTTTGTTCAAAACTTGTTTTCAGTTCTATTGGTTCTGTAGTTAGGAGGAGAATTTCCTGTATGGTAATTTGATGTTTAACATTTTGAGGAAACTCCAAACTGTTTTCTACAAGAAGGCACACAATTTTACGTTCCCACCAGCAATGCAATGCATGAGTGTTCCAGTATTTCCACTTCTTCACCAATACTCGTTATTTTCTTGTTTAATAGCCATTCTAGTGGGATGTAGTGATCTCATCATAGTATGATTTGGATTTTCATTTCCCTCGTGAGTATTTTTTCATGTACGTGTTAACAGCTTGTCTATCTTCTTTGGGAAAATGTCTATTCAAGTGTTTTGTCTGTTTTTAAACTGAGGGGTTTTTTTAATACTTAAGAAGTAAAAGTTCTTATATTCTGGACCTTAAAGCAGTATCAGATGTATGATTTGCAAATATCTTCTCTTTTTCTGTGGGTTGTCTTCTCACTTTCTCGATAGTGTCCTGTGGTACACATAAAGTTTTCAAATTTGATGAAGTGCAGCATATCTGTTTTCTTTTGTTGGTTGTGCTTTTGGTGTTATACCTAAGAAACAATTGCCAAATTCATGATTATTAAGATTTACCATGCACCCCTAGAAACTCTGTACACATAACTAACTCCCCATTCCCCAAACCCCCCAAAACCCTAGCAACCACCATTCTACTCTCTCTCTTCATGAATTTGACTACTCTAGATACATTATATAAGTAGAATCATAGAGTACTTGTCCTTTTGTGACCGGCTTATTTCACTTAGCATAATGTCTTCAAGATTCATCCATGTTATACCATATGGCAGAATTTTTTTCCTTTTTAAAACTCAATAATGTTGCATCGTATGTATATACCATATTGTGTTCATCCAAATACCCACCTACAGACATTCAGGTTACTTTCACCTTTTGGCTATTGTGACTAATACCTCTGTGAATATGAGTAGCAAATATTTGTTTTGAGTCCTTTCTTTCACTTCTTTTGAGTATATACCCAGAAGTAGAATTGCTGGATCATGTGGTAATTCTTTAATGTCTTGAGGATCACCATACCATTTCCACAGTGGCTGCACCATTTTACCTTCCCATCAGCAATGCACAGATATTCCAGTTTCTCCACACCCTTACCAACACTTGTTATTTTCTGTATTTTTCATATTAGCCATTGTGGTTTTGATTTGCATTTTCCTAACGATTAATGATGTTGAACATTATTGATGTTGACCAGTTAATATTGGCCATACGTTCATCTTTGGAGCAGTGTCTGTTCATGTCCTTTGCCCATTCTTTAATTGGGTTGTTTGGGGGTTTTTATTGTTAAGTTGTAAGGTGTGTTAGTCACTCAGTCATGTCCAACTCTTTGCGACCCCATGGACTGTAGCCTGCCAGGCTCCTCTGTCCATGGGATTTCCCAGACAAGAACACAGAAGTAGGTTGCCATTTCCTTCTCCAGGGGATCTTTCTGACTCAGATATTCTGATTATCAGACCCTTACCATATACACAGTTTACAAATATTTTCTCTTATTCTGTGGGTGGTCTTTCATGCTGCTGATAATAGTGTCCTTTGATACACAGCAGCTTAAAATTTTGCGGAAGTTCACCTTATCTATTTTTCCTTTTCTTGCCTGTGTTTTTGGTGTCATGTCCAAGAAGTCGTTGCCAAATCCCATGTCATGAAGTTTTTTTCCCCATATTTTCTTTAAGAACTTTATAATTTTAGCTCTGTTTTTTGACCCGTTTTGAGTCAAAGGTAACATAAAGGTCCAGCTTCATTTTTTTTTTTTTTTTGCATGTGCACTTTCAGTTTTCCCAGTGCGATTCATAGGTTGAAAAGACTGTCCTTTCTTCACTGAAGGGTCCTGACACCTTTGTCAAAAATCATGTGACCATATATGCAAGAGTTTGGGATCTCTAGTCTATTCCATTTATCTATATGTTTGTCTTCTTGCCAGTACTACACTGGTTTAATTACTATATCTTTGTAGTAAATTTTGAAATTAGGAAATGTGAGACTTCCAACTTGTTTTTCTTTTTCAAGACTTTTGGCTGTTCTGAGTCCTTTGTGCTTCCATGTGAATTTTAGGATGGATTTTTCTCTTTATACAAAAAAGTCTTTGGGGTTTTGCTAGAGGTGGCATTGAATCTGTAGATCAATTTGGGAGTACAGTTTTCCCCTGTTCTCTGAAAGTAAAGCGAAGAATGAAACCTTTTGTAAGCCGAAATGATGTGAAGTGAAGAAGCAGTTACCTTAGGACACATTTTGCTAATGCGTGCACACAATAGACTGAGATAAAGCACTGATGCTGGCACAGTTAAAAGTTAAGGCGGCTTCATGCTGAGATGCAGGGTGTAGTTGCTGGAGGAGGAGAAGGAGCACTACTCCTGGTGCTCAGAGTGCACACTCCGCTATAGTGCCCAGCTGCAGAGCAAAGACTGAGTGCTCATTGCTTTTTGCCTTTTTTTTGTAAAAGCAAAAGTCCTCTAGATTTTTGTTTGTTTGTTTAGCAAAAACAGGTACTAAAGTAGGTCTTTAGTAAAGTGAAGTGGCATAAAGCAGACTTTTAAAAGCAGGGATACTCATATTATCATTTTAACAGTGGTTAAATCTTCCAGTCCATGGAACGACTTTTCTTTATTTGTGTCTCTAATTTATTTCAAAACTGTTTTATAATTTTAAGTGTACAGTTCTTTTGCCTCCTTGGTTCAGTTTATTCCTAAGTATTTCATTCTTTTTTGACACTACTGTAAATGAAACTGTTTTCTAAATTTCACTTTCTGATTATTCATTGTTAGTGTTTAGAAATGCAACCAATTTTTGTGTGTTGATTTTATATCCTGCAACTTTGCTGAATTTCCTTAATAGTTCTAACAGCTTTTTGTGGAAGCTTAAAGATTTTCTGCATATAAGATATGTTGTCTATGAATAGAGTTATTTTTACTTCTTCCTTTCCAGTTTGGATGTCTTTTATTTCATTTTCTTGCCTAATTGCTCTAGGTCTTCTAGTACTATGTTGAATAAAATAGTGAAAGTGGGCATCCATGTTTTATTCAGGAGTTTGCTTTTTAATTTAGTATGTCAGATATAAAATGCTTTTCCTTTTCATAATATTTGTCATATACATCCATTCCACTTTAGCCCATGACCTCACCCTGAACTTTTAATCAAGTCTGAAATGTTTGGTTCTAACTATACTCTCCAGTTCATTTCACTCTAAATGTCTTATTTGACCTTATGGAAATCCCTAGTGCCTTGACTGATTACTTCTTCCATTTTAGCTCATTTGTCCACTCTCATGCTATTATTATGTTCAACTTCATTCCCATTCCCTATTTTTCAGCTATGGTAACCATCTGGCAAAACTTTAATTCTGATTAATCCAGTTGCCTGCCTTATATACATCTACACTTTGGCTCTAGGCAAAGCTAGGAAAACAAAGTCAAACATCCCTGATATTATAAAAAATCATGGTATCAATCTTTAATTTTGGCTGGCATGTCTTAATGGTCTTTCTTATTCTCACATTTTCTCCTATTTCACAGACAAAATAGAAGAAATCTTTATCAACAATATATCTCAGCCAGTAGTTGCACCAACGTATATTTCTTCTTGTCTTCTCAGACAGTTAAAAGTTGCACTATCTAACATTGAACTTGCAGTGCGTGCTCAGTTGTGTCTGACTCTTTGCAATCCTATGGACTGTAGCCCACCAAGCTCCTCTGTCCATAAAATTTTCCAGGAAAGACTACTGGAGTGGATTGCCATTTCCTCCTTGAGGGGATCTTCCCAACCCAATGATCAAACCCACATCTTGTGCATCTCCTGCATTGGCAGGCATTCTTTACCACTAGCACCACCACTGAACTTACTCTCAACTACCACCCCCATCCTCACCCACTAACTGGCACCAACATCCACCCAGTGTTCTCAGAATCAGCCTTGATTTTTCTCTCATTTTCACATCCACTGAAGTCCTCTAGGTTCTGTCTCCTAAGTATATCTTAAATCTACCCGCTTCTCTATTTCAACATTGCCAGCACCTACCATATCCTTGCTTCTAATCTTGATGTCCTTAGATGTATTTTCCACTTTTCATCTGGAGAGACTTTTAAAGATGCTAATTTGCAAATATTTCTCTTGTTTTCTTTTATTGTTCTAAAATTAAATCTAAATGTAATTTGTCCTGTGAAGCCCTTCATGATTTGGGCTTTGCTTACCTCTCCACTTATTTCTCAACACACTCCTAGCTTATGCACCATCCCTGCTGCAATAAGTTTCACTGATTCTGAAGAACTTGGCATATTGCTCACCTGTTGGGCTTTTTAGATACTGTTTTCTCTCTTCTTCATTCTGCCTCCTAGGCCTAATTTTACATATCATTTCCTCTAGGAAGCCTTCCTTCACTCTGACCAGATAGACACCTCCACTGTCTCTCATAGCTCCCTGTTCTTAAGCTCATCAAAGAGCTATCAC